AGCAAGAGATGACATTCTAGTTCTGTTTCTCTCAAAGCAGAGTCCTTGGTTGTGTCATAATATCACAGGAAAACAAAGGCAGCCAGGCAGGAAGRTGGGAGAAAGGAAGGGAGGGAGGAGTGAGTTTTGAAGAAATGTTTCTACCCCAGAAGGCAGATCTAGATCTAGTGTTACTGGAGCGAGCTTTTCTTAACCAGAAGGTAGCATGACAGTAGATACAGGAGATTTAGATACATGGATCATCAGATGACAGCAAGGGAGGTAGACAGGGAATTGTCAGAAACTAAGCACAAACAGTTTTGCGTAAATCACACTGGGTAATAATACTTATGATCAATGCTCACCACTGTCTCCATCTTCATCACCACCATCATCATTACCACCACCATCATCATCACAGCTAGTATTTATCAAGTGCATAGACACTTGAAAATAAGTAGAAGATGWGCATTTTCTACAGACATTACTTCATTTATCCTCCCAATAACCATTGACTTGCTTATTTCTTTTTGACAGATGGATAAACTGAGGCTTAGGCCAAAAACTTGTCCAAGATGGTACAGTTAGTATGGAATATGTAACTGGAACTAGGTCTCTATGGACGTGAAGTCCATGCTAGCATCCAGCTATAGATAACACAGTGTCTTTTTTCTATTAAATTKATAGGCATCATGTAATAGCTTTTTATTGCTTCTGTCCATATGGAGTGAGTATTGTGGGGTCAAATCACTGAAATATACTAATGAATGAAATGCTCGTAGTGTAGTCAGCTCTGGAAGTTTTAGAATTGTAAAAGATCGGCGATGACTGGTGTCATAAAAGCCATAACATACGTTTCTAACATATGTTTCTAGAAAGTAAAAGGCAATCAAACTGCTTTTCCAATCATTTCATTGCATGTGCATTTGGCAAAAGGTCACTGCTTCTGGCTGTTGTCTTTTTCAATACAGGTATTTMTTTGCATGTGTCTCTTTACTTCACGATCTTCTTTTATGCATTGTGTTTCCTCTTTTGAAATCATAGCATGGGAGTAGTTTAATCTTCATAGATTTTAAAGGCAAGGTCACATTTTAATGTGAATGCATTTAAATCAACCCCACTTGCTTGAATGATGTRAAATAACTCAGCAATGTTCCCATGACCTGCTTTTAAACCTTTTGATATTTTATATGATCTCCAATCAGTTGGACAGATAATAAGTGAAGCCTTGGCACCGGGCTGCCACTGCCACTATGACGCCGAGTCTGATGTTAGCAGCACAGATGAGGGGGGGAAGCCCACGTGGAAGCTGGAGATTGACACAGGTGGAGGTAAGGACACATCATTACCTAGGAAAGACCTTCAGAAATCTTCTGCAAAAGATGGGTCGTTTTCATTTTTCATCTCCCTATTCTTATTTCTTCCTCTGCCACTTTTTTTTTTCTTTTCATCTAATGAATATGATTGCAGGATGTGGTTCAGAGACCGATAGGGGAGTTTAAAACTGATATCAGCTATGAATGTTGCAATTTTTAAAAATATATTGATATCTAAGAATTTTTTAAAAAGAACTTTGGATTCTAAAATTCTGATAGGTATTTTCAGATGAAATCTTATTTTATAGCCATTTCCCATATAGTTGACCAAGTAGATAAAYTTTCCTTAACTGACCCAGTTGGAGACACAAAGAGTCAAGGCACATCACATTTCACAATGATTCATTTAAAATTTTTTTCTTTCTTTCTTTCTTTTTTTTTTTAATTAGGGAAAAACTCAATGCCATCCACATGTGACTTGTCTCTTCATAATGAGTATTCTAACTACAAGATTGCCAATTAGAGATTGATTTAACAGACCATGACTCATAGATATTTGGTCAAATTCCTTGTCCTTAACACCAGTCCTTCTTATATTTTGTGAATGGCTTTTTATAGGTTCTGATTGGAATATATGTGTGTGTGTGTGTGTGTGTGTATATATATATATATTTCCCTTGCATCAGGAATGTCATATGTATATGCATACAGGGGTTATTATTTTAATTTTTTTAAAGAGAGAGAGAGAGAGAGAGAGAGAGATTTTTTTAATATTTATTTTTTAGTTATTGGCGGACACAACATCTTTGTTTGTATCTGGTGCTGAGGCCGCACGCATGCCAGGCAAGCGCGATACCTCTTGAGCCACATCCCCAGCCCAAGGGGTTATTATTTTAATTCATTGTATGGTTACATTATCCCACTTCCCATTTTTGTTATCAAACACATTTGAGATTTTATCCGACTTCCAAGCAAACAGCTTAGCTAGCCACAATTTCATGGATGCTKGTAGAAGACACAAGGTGAGATCCATTTCCCTGGCACAACATGAAGAGGGCCAGGTGACATTTGAATAAGCAGTGAGTTACAGGAGCAGACCCTGGAGCTTTTGCAGTGCACATTCTGATAAAGGAATTCTGGTGCGCTCYTCAATCGTTCCTTCTTCAATGCCGCCATAGTAGTTATTGATCAAGTCTAATTCAAGCAAGAAAATCAATTAATTGTGAGATGTAGGTGGAAAGTGTTTGGAKGAATGATTTGGTAGGGTTTTCTGTGTGTTGGCACTGTACTAAGCATTTTATAGAAACTCTCTTATTTGCTATAAAGATAATTCTGTGAGCCAATCATGACAATTCCCATTTTAATGATATAAAAATGAAGGACTAGAGAGGTATTGTTTCCCGAGTTCATACAGCCAGTAAGTGGAGAACTGGCATCCTCACTCAGGTCTGATTGCCACATACACTCCATTAAAACAAATTGCCAGTTTATGAATAGTGCTTGCTCTCTTATACTAAATATTTTTTTCCAAAAGCTCATGAAGTTTCAAAAAACATGTGTCATGTTTTTATACTGATATTTCTTAGAAAGCCTTCAATTACTCTCTTTCCCTTGCCTCAGGAATGTCATGCACGACTTCCCTGTAGTGTGTACATTCACATAATAGCTCAGCTGGATTCACTCGTGCTCTCTCCCCCAGAATTTAGACACAGTGTATTATTACATGTGACTAGGCAATTTTATTCCCTTGTTTTYCTGAATGCTCTTTAATTAATCCATAAATTTAGAGGCCAACTCTCAAAAAACAGAATATTTAAAACTTTTTYGTAACTGACTTTTTAATGATATTTTCATGTAGGAATTTGAACAGCAAGATATAACATTAAAGAGACTTGACACACATTGTAGTTTCTCATTGTTTCAATGTAGTTTTGTTTCCAATGTAGTAATAATATGTAATGAAATAAAATGGACCATATTCTCAGATGAACTTGCTACATGTTYTCTGAGTATATAATTTGGGTCCACATTACATTTCCCTTTGGGAGCTTTTAGGTACAATTTAGAAATAATTGCTGTTATGCACAGRGGGCCACCATAAAAGTCAACCTCAGACCCATTGATAAACCTGAAATTTCTATTTTATTCTTCTTAAATAAGACTCAAAAGTTACTTTCCAAATATATTATTAAGGGAAATGTCATAYCAGTTATGATTACCTTACCTCAAAATAGTCTGTCATAGCAGCTGGCAAGAGACTGAGGGAATGCGGCAAAGATAGCCATGTTTTGGGTTAGGAGAAATAATGGGGTGGCAACAGTCTTGAATGGAGTGTAAGATTAGACAAGAAATCAGAAAAAGGCATTTAATTTCTGTTGAATTGTGCATATTGGTGTTGCTGGTAAGAGAGCCAGCCAGGTAAGCAAGTAAAAAAACAAAGGTACACTTGCTGACTTCATGAGTATACATGGTTGTTAGAGGTTACACCCAGATATGGTAACTTATTTGACAGCATCTAACCCAGGGTCTTTTATAATTGAAAAAGTTTAGATGAAAAAAAAAGTATTAAGAAGACAATTTTTGAARCCTCTACCATCATCAATACTATTCTTCATCTGAAAAATTTAAGTTTTGGGTCTTTGGCATGACATGATTTTACTTATTTTGCATGCATCATTCAAAAAATGTGTTTTTGTTTAATAACAAAATCTATTTGAAGCCTTTTTCTTTCTTTCTTTTTGGTTTTTTTTTTTTTTTTTTTTTTTTTTTTTTTTTTTTTTTTTTTTTGGTGGTACTGAGGATTGAACCCAGGGCCTTGTGCATGCAAAGCAAGCACTCTACAATGGAGCTACATCCCCAGCCCATATTTCAAGCCTTTTTGAGAATGTAGCAAACCTAATACTTATTGAAATGTAATAGTGAATACATGTCAATTGGCCAGGGAATCRTGAATGAGCACTTATGAAATACTTCAAGAAAGTTATTTATGTAGAAAATTATGCCCAAATACAAAGTCTTCTCTTGTTCTGTGATTCTATTTTGCCAAAGAGAAATCGGTTTCTGAACATAGATGGTAGGTATCCTGACCTATAGTACAAATCGGTGTCTTTAGTAAACAAAAYAAAACAAAACAAAAAACCCAAAACCTTACTTTGAGCTACAAAATTTTTTTTTGATATAGTATCTTAAAACACTTAAAGTATTATGTGCTACGATTACCATTTCTATGTCATGACTGTGTTGCTAAATACCCACCCAGCAGAAATGTAGTCAGAAGGCAGTCATATTATGCTACGTTATGGTGCTATAAGAAATGGTGATTTTTAAGAAAATAGAATGCTATTTTTCTTATTTTTAAAAATTTTCTGTAAGTCAATATTTCAGGTAAAATTAGGGGGTTTGAGAGAGGACTTATTGATTCTAAAACATAGGGACATGAAAGCTTTTTGTTTGCTTATTTTCAGCATTTCTGATGTTCATTTTTCTTTAATATCAATGTATCCATTAAATTTGAAAGCATTTCTTTTTATAATGAAAGGCCATTATTAAAACATTGTGCATATTAYACTCAGTGGCATCATAGAACCAACTGAGGACATGTTTTATACATAATATCAAAGTCTCCTTGGTAACATATATAAATCTCTTCTAAATATTATGTAAGTGTATATATATTACCTTCTCCTTTGTTCACTTTGATTGAAGTAACCTTGTTTTCTACCCTTATTTTTATAGCACCCAATAGAAATTTTATAGTGGAGGAAAGGGCACCCTTCCACTCGGAGAAGGAATCTGAGCAGATCACACTGCAGAAGAAAGAAGCAGGGGAGGAAGTTATCGCTCCCCAACACCAGGATGCAGAGCTCAGGGATGGGGTGGGCATTAAGGAGGCTCCCCTGGGGGAGTGGCAAACAGCAGCTGGGCCTCTAGCACTAGCAGAGCAACCCACAGAGAACAGCAAGGTGCCTCTGTGCACGGCAAGTTGGGCAGAGGAGGAAGCAGAAGGGGATGGAAGGCAGGACCTAGAAGGATTCAAAGCCACAGGAATAGCAGCAGGGAGAGATTCTGTGGGTCTGAGTGAAGGAGAGGCTCCTCAAGAGCAGACCCTGAGGCAAACTGTACTTGGGACAGAGCAGGCAGGTTCTGAAGGGGAGCAGGGTATGGTGGAGGGAGTGCTTACAAACACCACAGCCCTGAGCACAGAGCATCTTCAGGAGGCAGCTGCCCTGAGAGAGCCACCAACAACTCCAAAGATGGAAGTGTCTGACAGAGGGGTGGCTGTGAGTGAGGCAGGGCCCCCAAAGCCAGATGTGGACGCGAGTGAAGAGGAAGCACTCACAGAGCAGGAGGACATGGGACCCATTGAAGACACAGCATCTGAGAGAGAGGATGGTTCACAAGAGGCAATAGTTGGGGGAAAGGAACCAGGCAAAGAAAGGAAGGAGGTTCTGGAAACAGAACCCCCCTTGAGCATCTCCACAGGAGAGGCAGGGGCAAGGCAGATGGGGCTTTCAGAGGGCAGCCCAGAAGAACTCTGTGAGGAAGGTGCAGCCAGGGCAGAGACTGGGAGTGAGGCAGAAGATGTAGCAGGAGAAGGGAGGAGAGCGGAGAGCCCCGGAACACCTCTGAGGGAAATTGGATCTGAGAGAGAAGAGGTGACAAGGGCAATTGCAGCGAAGGATGAAGACACTTTAGAAGAGGAGCGAACACATAAAGGGGAAGAGGGGGAAGCAGTGAAGGAAGAGAGATCTGAGGAACAGACCAAAGAGCCTGAAAATGAAATAGAATCGGATGCTGAGGATGCACAACCCACAGAGACAACTGAAGTGACTCAAGATTCAGGGCTTCTAGAAGACTCGCTGAAAGAAAGACAGGTGACCTTGTTTGAAGTAACACATGGATTTGAAAAGTCACTGGAGAAAATAACAGCTCTGAGGAAAGAAGAAAGAGGGGAAAGCTTGAATGAAGCTAGAGACACAGAGCACAGGGACAGAGCAGGGCTGCTGGGCCGGCACAATGTGGCTCTACCAGAGCAGGGGCAGGGACCCCACCATGATGGAGAGGGCACTTTAGAGGCTGCAAAGTGTGCAACCCAGGACCAAGATGACCTTGCAGGAATGCAGACAAGAGAGGAAGAAGAACCTTTTCAGGGGCCAGGAGGAGCAGGAATCATGATGATGACCGAGAAAGATGTTCCTGAGGGAGATTTCATGATAGTGGAAAAGTTTAGTGAAGAAGCAGTGGATGGGGACCCAGAGGAGGAGGAGGAGGAAGAGCACACTCTGGGGACAAGAGTGACAAGGGTGATAAAGGACAGCAACMCAGAGGGGGATGGGGCGACAAGAGGAGGAGCAGTCCTGGCCCAGGAAGGAGGAGCAGCAGAGAGGAGGGAGGTGTTGGCAGATTCAAAGACAGCTAAGGGGGAAACAGTAGCAAATAGAGCCTCCTCCTTCTCAGATGTTGCTTGGGAGGAAACATGGCACAGAGGGGATGGGAAGCTGGGTAAAACAGCAGCTGCAGAGAGGGTGGCAGCAGAGGAAACAGGGCTGAGCAGGGAAGAGGTGACAGTGACATCAGCAGCAGAGCCTGGGGAGGGAGCTCTCCAGGAAACTTTCCATCTGGAGGGGCAGGGCCAGCGGCTAGGACAGGATCAAGAGGGAGGGGAAGTGGAGGCCACTCAGGGTGTGAGGTCCCTGGGAGAGGGGGAAGGAGCAGGGAGCAGTGATGGGAGGCAAGAGTCAGGAACAGCTGAAGAATTCAGACAAGGATCATCACAGGAGAGGGAGGTAGAGTTGAGCGGAGGGAGTCTAGAGGCAGTGGCAACACTTTCCGTGAAGCCTGAATTCTCTGGAACCCAAGAGGAACAAGAGCATATGGTTCAAAGAGAAAGTGAGAGTGCAGATGTTCCCCTGAACAGCGTGAAGGACTAGGAGATTTTGTGGCAGACGGTGAGTTTAAGTCTGATCTGTTTGCAGATGGAATAGAAATCCTGCCCGTGGGCCTCCTCTCCTTGGGGCTGGCTGGTCCCTTTATTGGTGTTTGCTGTGCACACATACACACACACAGGCTTCCCTCCTGTGGTACTGAGCCCCAGCCAGCAGGAGGGTGGCTAGGGGAGGTGGAGGAGGGGCCAAAGCACACAGAGAATCCCACTCCAGTCACCTTTCCTACTCAAGTCCTACTCTGTTCTTGCAAACACATCTCCCTGAAGCAGGAGATCTGTGTCTCTCTGACACAGCCCCAAAGTTGAAACACAGGAGAATGTGTCTCCAAGTCCAGACATAGAAGCAGAGAATCAAACTCTCTAGAATAATCATTCCATTTTAGTGTTTTAAACGATGGAATGAAGATTGTCAGTGATTAAGTGCTTTTGAATGGGCTCTCTGCCTTCATTTCTGCAGTATTATAAAATTTTATATATGCATATATAATTATATATATAAAATATAAATATTATATATTTACTTAATATATAATATATATAATACTTCACTCTATAAGTATGGAAGAGTGAAGTGAAAGAAAAAAATTTACTTTTTTTTTTTTTGCTGTCTCCTGGAATTTCCTTGATATCTCCTATTTTGAGTGATTCTATTCATAATATTACTATCCTTTTTGTTATTTTTCAGGGTATTTTAAAGGTTTCTTCTGGAAGACATAATGGCTGGAGAAAGATTCACCCAAGCATCTCACCAAGACTTTATCTTTTTTTTTTTCCTTTAAACACTGTGCTTGTCTGAGATGGTTCCTAGTCCATCAGTGACCTCAGTAATCACTTTCAGAATAGCTCAAGCAGATCTGCAAGAACCTCCATAGTGGTAGTGGTTCCAAATAGAAAGCTGAGAAGCTATTATAAATTCTGTACAGATAATGTGTCTATATTCAAATCAGATTGATGGTTTCAAATGTTTGACTTTTACCACAGATCACTGGGAGGCCCATACCTGATGCCTGCGGTTTGTTTAAATTCTTTTTTTTTTTAATTTTACATTCAAATATTAGTCCTAGTTTTATACACAGGGGTTTTATTTAAAATCTATGGCTTGGTACTTTAATGACACAGGCTGTGAAAATGAGCTCTAAAGGACCTTCTATGTATACTCCAGACTAAAGATCGCTCCAAGCCTCTCAGTCCTTCCTGAAAAGGATTCCATGCATGTCTATTCATTTACACTCGGAAATATTCATTCTTTCTATTTATGCCAGTCGAGTAAAGTGCAAATCTTATTTCAAAATGCCCTTTGTTTTTGCATGTGTTTCTGTACTTCTGCTTTCTCCGGTAGACTAGTAAAATGGTAGCTTGCAGCATTTTATCCCTGGTGGCCTCGTTTATGGGTCTGCTCAAGTTTAAATCAAAGTTCTAAATAATTTAGATAAGTGGAGTGAATATAATAATTACAGCAGGTAGATGTGGTCCATCAGCACATATGCTGACATTCTAGACTTGATGTCATTCAGTGAAAAAGAAACTTGAATAAAATTAGTGTGCTGCTCATCTTCCCAAGTTCTGTTATTTCAAACCTGCCAGCTCTTCTGGGTAGTTTATAATAGATCAACAGTTCACTATTGCTTTCTAAATTACCACCACCTGGTATTATTTTCTACTTGAGCATCAGCATGCCCCCAGGGGTTTCAATTTCCTCCAAGACATCTACATAGCACACATGTTGGGCCACCTTTTCTCCAGGAGAAGAGGTGAAAGAGAATGTCCCAAAGCAGTGATTCTCCAACTGGAAGACATATTAGTCTTTCGTGGGGCACTTTTCATAAATGTCTGTACCCCTGGCCCCACCAGAGCATCAGATTTAGTTCATTTTAAATGGACCTTTAAATGAAGTTGGGCACAGCATGCTACTGGAGAGGCTGAGTTAGGAGGATCTCAAGTTCAAAGCCAGCCTCAGCAAAAGCAAGCCCCTAAGCAACTCAGTGAGACCTTGTCTCTAAATAAAATAGAAAATAGGGCTGGGGATGTGGCTCAGTTGTTGAGTGCCCATGAGTTCAATCCCCATTATCCCCCCTACCCCCTCAAAAGAGAAAAGAACTAACAAAAAAAAATCTTTCCCCTTGACTGTACATGGAACCAAAGTTAAGAATTGCTGCTCAAAACCATCATAATCCATTGGTTGCCTTCTACTCTATGCCCCTAGGGACTAGGCATGATATTGTTACAGGTATTTTTCACTTTAATTAATGTCAAAGTCATTCAAAAATCAAAAATATGCTGAACCAAATGAATTAGATAATGGATTTGTTCTTTAATCATGAACAGTGTTGACATCACCTGGAATTTGTTCCTGGCTTTTTCTCATACTTACTAAGTTAGAATTGTGGGTGGAGTTTTAAAAAATCCTCTTGTAATTCTGATGGATAACAAAGTCTGAAACCGCCATCATGGGCTATTGGTTGTACTGAGGATTAAACTCAGAAAATGGATTGCAGGAGCATTGTGAACTTTCTGCTTTGTCTCCCTGTCTCTCTTTTTCTTAATCTCTGTATCTTTTTCTGTCTTTCTCTAAGAATCGGTAATAACTATAAAAGTGATGAATTCAACCTAAAGTTTGGTCTTATTATGATCATATTAGAGTATACACGGATTTGTCTACCCACCCCCYATTGAAGATGAGTATTTACCTCTCCCTGCACATCATAGGGCTCCTTCATTTGCTTGGTGTTCTATGAGTGGATTTCATCTACTTTACATTTAGTTTCATTCATTACCAAGCTACATTTCTCTGGAGCGCTATGATTTCATCCTCAACATTACAGAGCACTTTGAATACAAAGCACCTTATAAGAAAGATTATAAACTTGTTGATAACATTGAAAAATGAGTTTTGCACAATGTGCTAAATGGAAATTGCWTCTCGGATTATTTTTATATTCAACACATTCTATCAAAACATTCTGTAACATAATTCTACAATCTGCATGTGGGTTTAACTGTGAAATTAAGGGTTGTGATGTTTTGATTAAGTGAATTATTTCTCTGCAGATACTACATTGATAAAATTATGTGTATGTTCAACCAAACTCATATTTTTCCTAGTTTATTCATTATTTAAAGCATAAATAAATAATATATTTACAGGTATTATATGTGAATTGTTCTTTGTAAATAAGACTTAACTTTTAAAATCTTTTGTATTATTTCCTTCCTTACAAAAGTTGAGTTATAAGAGCAGATAAAAGAGAATTAATTTTATTGGTCTATATTTTTGAGAGTATGTGTTTATACTGACTGTCTACATTTATATGTTTTTCACATATGTGGGATAATGTTAGAGAGGAAATTATTTCCACTATTTTATTGATAAGTAAACAAAAGCTCAATATAATTAAATGACTTGTCTAAAATCACAGTCAATATCAGGTCATCTGAATCTAAACTCTAATTAAAAAAAATCATATACATTGCTTCTGGGAAGAGTTATTCTAGACACTAAGGCACTCAACGTGAATTTCTACATATTTTTGTTTACTTGTAGAAGGGACAAAAAAATCTAATATATATCATCTAATACTAAGAAATTAGCTCTATTTCTAGCTAGTGTTAATCAAAGAACAAAGTAGATTTAAACAATTCAAGAGAAAAATAGATAACCAATGGAAATGTAGGAAGAATTAGGATTTCTACTTGAATTTCCTGAATCCAGCCTTTTCTATGGCTTTATAAACTCTTATGCTGTAAATCTGAAGAATAATTGAGTTCCTTAACCTTTCTAAAATCAATAATTTTGCCACAATTATTGCCCTTGGAAAATTATTGTTTGAACAAAGAAAAGAAAACTGTAAGGAACATTCATCTAGTGAGTGAAATATCCCAACAGACTCAAGGACAGCCCAGAAGAGGCCGCTTCCGACCCTGGGTAATATTTCCTCCCAGGCTTCTGTACCACTCGATTGTGTYATTTAAAAAAGAAAAGAAAAAGAATTCTGTGTCACCTTGGCTAGCAGAGGAAATACAAGAGTACAAGGAATAAATATGGATGGAATTCTTTAAAAGTCATTCTCAAACTCACCTATATTTTTTATATTTTGTTCAGGTTTTTTTTTTCCTTCCTTCTAATATGCCCAGTGACAGAAAATCTATGCTTTTCAAAATAACTGGAAACTCACTCCATGAGATAAGCTGGTGGACATTTGACACCTCAGTAATCTGTGCAGCCCTCCCAATATTTTGGAATATTGCTATCTTCCTCCATTTTTATTAAGGAAAATAAGGTACACAGAAGATTCCTGAGACAAATAAACTGATGCCAAAGTCTGCCTCCTCTGCAAATATTTCTTGACTTTATTAAGCACCTACTTATAAATAAAGGCTATGTTAAAGACTCCTAAATTAGAGGAGAAAACTCACAGTTGTTCAGGGGCTTGGTATTAATGTGACAGACTTCAAACTAGTGTTAGTGTGCCSCAAAGGAAGTCAGAACTTTTCATGGGATCCATTGGCAAATGTACTTCCAAAGTACTTTTCTTAAAAACCAACTTCAGAACCAGCCTGTGGTGGAAGTCTTCCATGTTGCCAATCTCACACTCTCTCTGCACCGCAGAGGAAAACTCTTCATTTGCTTACCAACTGTACTGTGGCTCAGTGGCCCCTAAATGACACAACCGAGACAAAGGAACAACTTGAAATATGATGTAGGGGTTGAGAAAAGGAAAGATTTTAATAAGTGGTTAGCAAATCCTTCTGTGAGTCAAGTGATTTCCAATTCTTTGTTTTCAACAAAACTAAATGAAGATCTGACTGAATCGTCAGCTGATTAACCATTTAATTTTTTTCTTCGTATTTTATTTGTTTATGAGTTTTGGTAAATTACTCAGAAGGAGTTCAAAGAAGAGCACTGCTGCACAATGTAACAAACTACTTCCATTCCCATCCACTTATTTATGTGACATGCATAAATCCTATGTTTTTATGTCTATAAAA